AAAAAAAAAAAGCATCAGCATGTAATACAACATCTAGCATGGAAATCTAATGTAGGCCGGGCTTTGTGAGACTCTCTTGGGCGATGATTGGATGAATCTATCTTCAACTGCCATGCATCTTAGAAGGCTTGTTTTGCTACATTATCTGTTGCAGGGCTACAAAAGGCAATTGTCGAAGGCGGGGAGTTTGCCTTAAGGTTGGGCAACTTTCTACAACCGGACAGTTAATCTGGACAGGAGATGGCATAAACTTGGTCTCGGCTATCAGGGGGATGATGGACAGGACGAGATTGAGCAGGCAGTGGTATTACGCTATGATGGAGTCATGAAACCATGGCTGGATATTGGTATTGGGAAGTACAAGACTTACGGGCTGCCTACCTATCCATGTTATGTGGTGTACAACCACCTTTTTTATAACTTTTAAAAAATATTTTCATCCTAAATTTTTTAGAAAAATATTTTTTAAAAAACCAACTTATTTTTTTTTTAATTAGAAATTTTTTTTCATTAGCTAACTTTTTTAATATCAAATAAATATAAAAAAATTTAAAATATAATTTTATAATTGTCAAGAAACAAACATGTCTGTAATATTAATTTGTAAAATCTTGCGGTACCCTTCGCTTGTTCTTCTTCGGTATCCTTGTAGTTGCACTCAGTCCTGAAACATTTTGCAACGCATTATCTGTAAAACAATCAAGGCATCTCTTTGTACAGCAATTATTTACTTGGTCAGTGAGAGGCTATTATGCTTAACAAGCAACTAAAGTAGTTTCCAACTATGTGCCACAAATCAATTAATCAGATCACAATTTCCCGTGTTAGGTGCCCAAAGGAATCAAGTTTTACAGTCTATTGACTTCTCTCTGTACAAACTATAAAGGGAACCAGGCATTAGCTTGCTTCTATAAAAACTGCATTTTGAATAACTTGGTTGGTCTGAATCTTGAAGTAGCAAATGAACATGTGAATGAAAATGTTAGAAGCAAGGAGAAAAAAGAAGCAGCCATATCCTTCATTTATTTATTCATTTTTTCAGTTTCCATTAAGTTAACGCCTAACAGGAAAATGTGATCTCATTTCTCTTTCTCCATTAATTCATCACATCAATTCTAGAAATTGATAGACCTGATTACTAAATCTGCATTTTTCTTTGACTTGATAATCAGCTCTGCATTACGCTGCTCGTTGTCCTATCTGCAGATGAATTTAATTCCACGTTACATTTACAATCAAGAAAGTAAGATTGATGTAGAGAAACCAGCAATCCAAAAAAAACCAAGTTTGAAGATGACAACAAAGTGAGGCTTACCCGCCATTTTGAAACATCTGGAGGCTTTCCTGTTAGACAACATGGAATTAAAATCACAAGACTTTCTTTCCTTTCCCTAGTAGAACTGTAGAAGCAGTGAACAGTAAAAACAGAAAATGAGGCCATGCCTTGTAAAATGTGTCTCTTTAAAACTATATGCCTTTCTGTATATAAGTTTCAAGAGTGATAGCTGACACTGCGATACATTTGAAAAAGTTTCAAAAACAAAAGCAAACGACCATGAAGCAAGCTTAGCCTCCATTGCATCAAGCTCGGAACGATATAGATGGAATCCACCCATGGAACTACAAATGATAAAGAAGCAAACATAAATATAAATCATTCCTAATAATTTACAATAAAATTTTACTGTTTGTTTACTTAAAATTCAATCACAACATCAGGAATCTCTCTCTTTTGACTGCCCGAAATCTGATACCACAGATAATAAAAATCCAAATTTACATTATTACATCATGATCTTTAAAAATTTTCAGAAAAAATGTTAAAAAACACAGAAGAGAAGCACACTAAGATATATTACAGAAGTAGAGAGCAGATAGAAATCGAACGCAGGCCATTTATGAATGGGAAAAAAAAACACAGAGAAGAACAATAAAATATAATAAAAAAGTAGAAAACAGATAGAAATCGAACGCATGAAGACCGATTCTGAAAAGGAACGGATCAGCAGCTCCTTTTTCATGATTGCAACAAGGAGGAGACAAAGTGAGAGACCTGTCGACGAACACGGATAGCTGGTCGAGGTTGTCGATAATGAAGAGACTTCAATAACTGCCACATGTCGCCAAACTGAACACGGATGACTGATAATATTGGAGTATAGAATGAAGAAAACTACT